TGCGCGTCCGACAACCCCAATGTCAAACGAAAACAAGGTTTCATTTTCTCTCTCTCTCTCTCTCTCTCTCTCTCTCTCTCTCTCTCTCCCCCCTCCCCCTCTGCAAATGGTTCATTTTCGTTGATGGGAAGTTGATATGGCTTTGCTTTCTTTCCTCTCTCATTAGTTTCCCCTTTTTCAATCTGTTCCATGTAGGGAGGCAAACTAAGGGGGCCGCAGTTCAAATTCCTGGTGCCCCTCATCTAATGGCCCGATGACCCTGGAAGGCTGGCCAGGATTTGCTCCCGACGCGTCCATCGCGGATAGTGAAGAAGAATCAATGTGCAGGTCATGGTTTCAATCCAAACATTGCTCGCCACGTGGTAGATGTCCCGTGCCAACCCCCATTCCGGCTGGGCAAGAGATCGAAGTCATTACTCTAGAAACAATAATATTGAAGCTCACATAAATAAGTGTAATTTTATTTTATTTACGGATTTCACGTTGTTCCATACAAATCGGAGTTCCTGCTCACCGGGAAAAAAGATGCTAGCTTTGGAAAAAAAATCCTCATGATCCAGAAAGGCATAGATAATTATTTTCTCCAATTACTCCGATGTCCGAAAAAGTACTACCAACAAACAATCTAAGCGCCGCCAGTACGGTCGATCGTGGGGACGTACGCACAGGCTGAGTCATGCGAATGGCTTGGACGGAGATCGACGAATGACAGGTCCAACCCAAGAACGGCTCAATGGTGGTGGCGTCCTTCCAGCCTGACGGGGCAACATCAGAAGTCGGCGATAGGTGTGATAGACCCCAGAAATATGGGGCTTTGCAGGAGGATGTGGGTTCCCTCGACAACGAGGTCAAGTTTTGTCGAAGCCAAGAGGAAGGGTGAGAGCAGGCCTGGCCCACTTTGGCGGTAAGGACGACGAGGTCAGAAAACGTCAGGTAATCGCCGCCGCCGCCGCTTTCCTCCTCAACTTGATCAATCACATGGCCTGACTGCCCTCCAAGAACTCACGCCTGTTTTTGCGACATCTCAGAGTTTCCCTTTGTGGAAGCACCTCAATCATAAATCTAAAACCTTCTGTCAGAATTAAATCGCCATATTTAAACTACCTACCCATCCTCTTAGAACTGTCTCCGGTAGACTGACTAACAATGTTATTATACGTCTTCTTTCATGCCCCACACCTAAACTTCAGAAGGCAACAAGTCTGGAACGGAGATTATGTGTATACAAAGAGAGGGTGTGTGTGTGTGTGTGTGTGTCTGTGTGAGTGACAACGACACCTGAGATCAATTCCATAAGGGGCCAAAAGCCGTTCCAGACCAAGGAAAGAATATCGATAGGCTTGAATATAAGTTGTACACATATGGAATCGTAGTCTCCACAGCACTTACCGATTATGAGATGTGCTCACAGGGACTTGAAACGGGCTCAGATTGGAAGAACGTCAGGGAGAGCAACCCCTCAGATACGTATCTAGGAACACCAGTTCACAGGGACTGCTTATATGTATATGATTTCACATCAGTCTGATGTCCAAATGAAAACAAAACGGCCAAATAAAAAATAAAATTGGCAGAAGAAGAGTTTCCAGTGACCAGTCAATTGAAGAGATTCAGGCAGTCGGCAGTATGCAGCGTCCTCATCCTAATCTCATCCACATGTAAAAAAAAACCATCAGAAGAATCTAAATGTGCGGCGTTGAAGCCGTTAGAAAATGAGCTGGCAAATGGAGAGTGGGGAAACACCTAGTCACAAACCCAACCCAAGCACGGATTCATGGCGGCGGCCTTCCAGCCGACGGTGCATGGGTGCCACATCAGAAGTGAGCCATCGGTAAAGCTCGAGGCAGCTGTGGGGCCCCTAGACAATGAAGTCAAGTTTTACTACCATTTTTATCTGACGTGGCATACCATCGGGAGAGAGTCTGCTCCCCATCGTCATAAATTAATGAGATTTTATTGGTTTTATAGCGTAATGATACTCGGCCCCCCGACTGAACCAGTTGACTGGTCTCACAGAATTTGCAAGTAAAGCGGGGGCGAGTCGATAATCGCATTGAATGAGATGTGACGGCCTCCAGCAACCGATTCAGCCAGAATAAAATGAAGCAGGACCATCGAAAACAGCCAGTTCGTCGGAGCGAGAGCAGGCCTGGCCGACTTCGGCGGTGAGGACGACGAGCTCCCAAGCCTCAGTTTTTCCCCTTCTCCTCCTCTTCATGTTTGTCTTCTCCCAATTTACTCTCTGCATACATATGATGGGGGATGTTGGCTAAGTGGAACCGATCATGAGACGCCAACCCGGTCCGAGAAAGAACTCGCGACCGACCCACCCCACCATCACGGCACGACGACGTCAATAGTCACATCGTTGATCGCGCTCATTAGCGATCGCCGGGGTGGGCTCGCAGCCTTCGCAGCACGAATTAGACGATCTCGTCCCCTCCGTCTCGGATTTTTCCGTGGGCAGTCTTCTCCTTTCCCTGTTTCATCCATGCCGAGGAGAAGATAATATTTTTCTGTACACGGTAATTCACTTGACCGTGAATATCAACGACCTCTGATCATACGGCCATCATTCTCCGGCTTGCAGGGGTTCTATGGCTCTGACACATGCTGGAGGGGCCGCGGTCGCCGCGAATCATGGGATTATAAATATCTTCCGTGGAATCCCGCCGCCTCCTTTTGGCGGAGGCGCCGCCCAAGGAGCGGAGGCCCGGCAGAGATCTTGTCCGGCGTTGGGTGCTGTTCTGATTACGGTGTCCTTTACCCTCCTACTGGCACAGCCAGCCACAGCCACAGCAGAGATATAAAGCTTGACTAGTAGCTAAATATTATACACAAATATATGACATTGATTATCAAGAAACTTTTGTACTAGTGGCAAGAATAAATACTCTCCATTTTTTGCTATCACAGGCTCTACACGGTCTTCGTCTACCTCACATTCTGCATGGGCATCGTCCTCCTCCAACTCTCCCTCGTCCCTGCTGGAAAAGCCCGAGAGATGGCCTGGCTGCAAGGCGTCACCCATGGCCGTCCCCGTGCTGAGGTGCTGCCTTGAGCCTCCCACACCATTTCTGATCCATGTTGGGCCCTTCTTCATAGCCATGATGGTAATCGCCACCGCTGCTCGCCTCCTCATCTGGATCAACTGCATGGCTTGATTCTCCTCCATGTCCGTATTTGAGACGTCTACTTTTTACTGTAACACTTCGGAATTTCCCTTCTGAAACTTTATGTTTGACCATTTACTAAAATAATGAGATGCATGCGGTCCATTTCACTTGTTGCACGTAAGACAAGCAGGTTAATTCTTCATCATCATCTAAAATGCATTGCACATCTACATCAACATTTATAAGGTTGACTTGGTCAACAGACAAGTAGGTTAATGCTTCATCACCATCTAAAATACGTTGCACATGTACATGACCATTTTCATAATTTTACTAAAATAATTGTAAGGTTGACTTGGTCAACATTCAAACGGATTAATGCTTCATCATCATAAAAAATTCGCTGCACATCTACATGACCATTTTCATAATTTTACTAAAATAACTGTAAGGTGACCAGGTCAACAAACAAACAGGTTAAAACTTCATCACCATAGAAAATTCGTTGTACTTGGTCAACAGACAAATAGGTTAATGCTTCATCTCTATCAAAGATTCGATATATGTCTACATGACCATTAACAGACAAATAATCGTAAGATTGACTTGGTCAACCTGTGGGGAGAACCAGTCCCACCGCCAGTGTAAAGAGAGAAGAGCAGACATAATGGGAAAATCCCTCTACCATCCGGCGGCGATCATCCAATACTTAATAATTGAAAGCTCAGATGTGGGCACCGCCCCTCCAGGTCCACTCCAAAAGGGAAAAAGCCAATGTTTTCGGCTTTTTAGCAGGTTTTGCTTAAAGCTTTATTAGAGAGGAGAGGGCTCCAGAGAGAGAAAACCAACCCAAAAGAGAGGAAGAATGAACCCAAGCTAACAGCACCGAGAGGGGAGGGTTCACAAGACAGAGAGAGAGACCTTGCTAATATGAAAAAAAAACAACAATGAAGCTTAAATAAATCAGTATAGTCTTATTTGCTTTCCTGCTCACCGAAAAAAAAATGCCCGCTTTAGAATTCCCGAAAAGCATGGATAATTAGTTTCTTTAAATACTCCGATGTCCAAACATGTACTGCCGACAAACATAATCTAAGATCCGCCGGTACGGTCCATCCGTCAAGTCAAGATTGCAGACCAGACAGTGGGGACACACGTGCGGCTGAGTTTGACCGAGGACAGAGATCGGTCGGATGCCAAGAAGCCGGGACCCGCAAACCCAACCCAACCCAACCTCGTGGTAAAGGAGCTTCAGTTCTAATGTCGTAGGGTCGAATTATTCTATGACATCGTCGTGTGGTCACGACCACGGTATGGAAATTACAGCGTGGCATCCACAATGCTCCTCTTCAAATAGTTTACTCGATTGAGCTTGGAAAAATAAAATAAATCTAGAAGATTGCGGGATTGTTGAATATTTATCCGTTCTACTCGTAACCGAAAATATTCACGGAGTTGGGCACGCCAGCAGATCCAAGTTAGTGATTATTCGAACCCAATTTGGGCCTTTAAAAGATCCATCTCATAAATTCTAAGGGCTTTTATCGCTGTGTTTGCTATGGGGGGGGCGCTCGGTCAGAAGTTAGCGATGTGTCGACAGTGACCGGAAGGAAGTAGAGGTATTTTTAACAAACTAACGAATATCTTCACCATTGTTTAATAACGGAGAGCTTGCACGCGTGCTTGTCTTCTTCTGCTGCTCATGGGGGCCCTCCGCTACTCTCCTTCTTCCCCGTTTCCCTCTCTTTGTGTTGACTAACGCGAGGTCTCAGATTGGATTTAAGGTGCCGCTCCCCCCCTCCCTCTTGATGCCCAATCCGGGGCGAAGCTCCGTCTAATTCTTCTCTCCGTCTGGTTTTGCAGGAGGAAGTGGAGGAAGGGGCTATGGAGCAGCGCAGGATCATAGATGAAATACCGGCGCCTCCTCTTGGGGAAGCCCAGCAGAGATCTGATCTGAGGTCGTTGGGTGCTGCTCTGAGTTCGGTGTCCTTTGGCATGCTGTTCGCCCTGCCACAGCTATCGGTGAGCGCACTTATCTTCGCCTGCCTCTTGCTCTACTTGGGCTTCGTCCTTGTCGGACTCTCCTTCGCCCCTGGAAGACCCCCAGAGCTACCCTTGCAGGAGAGTCTGGTTGTCATCTATATGTCGTGGTCCCTTGGGTTTATCTCCACGATCTGGATCCACTTTGCGAATTTTCATATCGCCCTGATGCTAATCTCCACCACGGGTCAACTCTTCCGCCGGCTCAACCCCCGCAGGGCCTAACGTTCTGGTGGATGTCTATCTGCTGTTGTAAGGCATCTCGGAATTTCCTCTCAGACACCCCTGTGAGTGAGACTACTTATGCATATGCGTACTCTGTGGCACATTTACAAGACCATTTTCATGATTTTACTAAGATAAAGAGATGCATATGCTCCATTTTATGTGATACGTTTCAGACAAATATCATCATCATCATCATTATCATCATCTTAATACGTCTCGATGAAACCAACAGGTTTTTGCTTTCCGGCGTTTGAATGAAACACAATAGAGTTTCTCATCCATACAAGTAAGAGCCAAAAGGACTGCCATTGAATCAAACGCATGTTATTGTGTCAGCCAAGAAGGGGGACAGGAGAGGGACATCATGGCCCCTCTTCCAAGTGATCAGCGAGATGTGCGTGGCTGAGAATCAAAGAAAGTAATAAAGCATGCCTGGCAGAAAAATATCACCGAGCAAGAAAACAGTGCCCATGGTATCTATCGCTTGCTTTCTATGTCGTATAGATCCGTTCTGAGAATACACGTTAAGGATATAAAGTATAAAACACAAAATCAGCACTAATCTTGTAAATATCACGCAAAGATCAACAGAGATTTAGGTAAACTAGTGATTGTATGAAATTCAGTGCATCTAGATTTTCATTGGATATATAGAGAGCATGCTCAATGATCAAGCCAATGTAGAGATAAAAGCACAGCCAAGTTATGAAATATCACAGCCTAGGTACATTAGCCAATCCAGAAATGTCGACCTCATCCGAGTTTTAGTTAGTGCCACAGAGCCACTCTCATTCCTGTAAAAACTAGCCTCTGGCTAGGGCAAACCCATGTTTTAGCTAGTTGTAAAGTCGTACTGAACCCCAGCATGGGCCACAATAATAGCAGTTTGGGACTTCAGCATTGGTTAGCCAGAAAACTAGGCACATAGAGCTGGAGGAGATCATGTTCCGGCCAGACATGATGAAATTGTAAGGCGCGGGTTTGATTGGTGGCAGTTGAGTTTGAGCAAATCAGAAACGAGAAAGGAGACACATCAAACTCCAAACATGGTTCTAAACTGCGCGCTTTGTTTCCAGCTCAAGATCAAGTGAAAAACACCGTATTTGCGTTTTTAGGAAAATTTGTCGAACAGAAAGATGAAAGAAGGAGAGCGCATCTTGTATGAGTATGACGTATCATAGGTGCCCCTCAGAGAATGAAGGATACATAACATAGCCTACATATAGCTCTTGTTAGGTTTCTTGAAATAACAGCTTTTCTTTCCACATGCAGAGAGAGAGAGAGAGAGAGAGAGAGTTACAAGTGAAGAAGTTGCTGTGATATCCATCGGTGAATCACCAAACAACGAACATCAGTGATACTCATCAAGGATCTGTCCCTCGGGATGCTATGAATATACAACGAGCATGGTTCTTTAAATGGGTGGATGGATGGAAAGGCGACTGCAGATCCTCTTCTTCTATTGGTTTCCCATTGTGCACATGATATTTCAGAATCATTGTGGAAGCAAGTTTCTAGCTAGTAGATTCTAGTTTGAGAAAACTAACTCATTTTTTGCCCATTTCCCATAGCCGTGATACCTTGAATCAAACTTGTTAAATATTTACCAGGAAGAAAGTCAGAAGAGAGTCAACATATCAGATTTCCTCCATACAGCTCATACTTTTATCAACTGGCTGTTCCATAGAAGTAGCAGCTATCATAGAGTCTAGAATGTTTTTGAAAAATGAACATCCAAATTTCTATGTTCCTAAAATATCTCTGGTAAACAGGCTAGACATGTTATGTGTCTCTTCTCTGATGCCCTGGACCTAAACTCCAGCAGGCCGATGTCTGAAATATAGCCATCAACAGTTCGATCAAATTTACAATCATCTAGATATTTCCCGACCATATCAATGAAAGGGAAAAGGAGTGTCAATAATGATGAGTAATCAATTCTCACGAGAGATTTACATTTTTAATGCTTTTTTTGTAAAATGGCGAACTACCTGGCTATAGAAATAAGAAACTCTCATCAAAATTCGCAGATGATAACGCATGCTAACACAAATAGAGAAGATTCTATTTGTGTTAGCGTCAAAGAAGGATATGAGCGATCAATTTGGGTGGAATATACCGAGAACAAAAGGGACGTGAACACTGAACATTATGAAGGTGTAGGTCAAAGAAGACCAAAATCAACTTCATATGGTAGCGAAAGCCATTCCAGAACAAGGAGATTCAATCAGTTCAAGCATAATATACACGAATGGAACCATAGCCGTCAGAGAACTAGCTGACTATGAGAAAGGTGTCTTCCACACGACCTAAACTGGTTTCAGATAGGCACAATGCAGGGAACCACCAGTATGACTGCGTTTGGCAACTCGTCAGATAAATGAGTAAAAATTGAAAAGGGCTTATATATGTATGATTGCATGAAAGTCGAATCACCAGAAGAAAGGGGAGAAACTTAAAATAATGGGGAAGAAGAAGACATTCCATTTGCAAATCACAAAAATTGAGGCAACTGGGAACAAATGATGAACATAAGGCTGTATGATCCTAATTGTATCCATGCATTAAAGATAACCGAACTCGACAAGTAGCGCTGAACCATAGGAAGACTTAACAGCCAAGTGGATCAATGGAAAAGGTTGAAGTAGCGAAAAGGATACACCAGATAAGTGCCATGAGCGAAGGCACCAGCCAGGACGCCGTAGAAGAGCCGATCCCTCAACACCGGGTTCCTCCTCAAGCTGATGCGGACTTTTCTCCATCCAGGAACACGGATATCAGTACGAATTAGGAAAACAGCACAGCTGAAGAAAGGAGAAGCGAGAACAAGGCTGATAACGAGATCGAGAGAACGACAGCGAGGACAACATACTCAACGGGAGAATCGGCGCATAGATTAGGGGCACCAGGAATCTAAACGGCGGCCCCTTCTTTGGCTTCCTAAGAACAGCCTCCCTTCGAAGAACAAATGGAAAGGGACGAAATTAATCAAAGAGAGAAAAGGGGCCAAAATCATTTGAAATCTGCAACGGGATTCACACACACACACACAAAAACAGCGGAACGCTGCCCCTGCCTGTCGGAGAGATCTGGAGGAGGAAACGTCGGAGATGTCGACGACGGCGGCGCCATGGATTTCCTCAAACAGAGAAGGCAGAAGCTGTGAAGCACAGATAGTTTCTGGAACTGATTCCGGACGTCAGGAGAGACTTAGGATCTTCTACCCATCACGTCATCGCAGACTACAGCGCGAAGTGTGGGGCCCACAAAAAACTAATCTGCACACGGAATGGCTCTTTATTTCGTTAATTATAGTCGAAATAAACTAGATAATGCCAACTAGCCTCTCTCTCACACACACACATCCCCTTTGGCCGAGCAGGGAAGGTAGAGTAGGGTGTTGTTTATTTTAAAATATCTTAAAGCATACAAAGGAAAATGTTTATTTTATTAATAGGAATATGTATTTCCCCTAAAATAATAACTTTAGAGAAAATATTCATCCTTTTCCAGAAAAGCATCAGGTGTTATCTTGTTTTGATGATGACTATGTATATACAAAGATAATTTGGTAATTTTAGATTAATATAATTATATATTCAGATGATTTATATTGCTTATTATTGAGGAAGGGTCAATCTACATGGTTGCAATTATTGAGGAAATTTATTCACGTGCCAAATACCCAATATTTGAATGTTCATATTTTTATGGATTTTATCATATTAATTAATATTTATTGAGTCTACATTTAAAGCATGGATGGGACAGACAGTGGACCGTTGCAGGTGACCATTGAGCCGCCCAAAATGCTTCAGATCACAGGGGTGGCTCAATACGGCCTCCAATAAAAGGGGTACTTTAGCCACAAAATAAAAACATTAGGATAAATAAAAAAATACTTGAAAAATCAGGGGAAAAGCTTAAACATTCCTACTTTATTCATAATAGTCCAAGAGGCAATGAAAATTAACTATTGCGCAAAATATTTAATGCCTGTTTTCGTACCGAAAGCTTCTTCCAAATAATCTGGAGATGATTAACTTATATAATTTAGTTTGGCTCCTTAGAGCCATTAGTCTAAAAGAGATTAATGAATTATCTTCTGATTTAGCACTTCGTCACGTTGGGAAGAAGCTTATTAGGTGGGGTTCACTTCTAATTAAGTTTTTTTTTTTCACTATTAGGGTATTCCTTATCTTCATGTAATTATTGTTTGATAGTAACTAGGGACATAGCTAAACTAAAAAAATAAGATTATGATAAATTCATAAAATAAACTAATTTACAAATAATTATTCAAGTTGTGGGGAGCTAAAATCACTCAGCTTCTATCAAAGTTTTCCTAAATTGTTAGAAAATATTAGTTTAAAATTAAATACAAAGTATTGGGTAATTGTAAAAATAAATACGAACGATTTTTCATGAAACTGAGCAAATTATCTGGATAGCGAACAGCCATGGGATGAAGAGGATAATAACCCAGCGTGGCTCGCTGTGTTTCTCATTCCCATGAATCCATGCTTAGAAACACATAACACGCTGAAAATCACGTACTTGTACGGGCCCAGAAGTGCCGAGATCTTAGATTCAGAGAAGAGAAAGGTAAAGATCTTTAACTCTCTTATCTTTCTCAAATGGCTCACTCCACCCGGCCATCTTCTTCTTCCTCTGAACCAGTCCCCAGCTCAAGCATATATATAAAAACGGCAGCTTTCACTTACCTCCCGCCGCCGCCGACCCGCCGCGGGGAGGAGCGGACGCTGAGCAGCCGCACGTCGTCGACCACCGGGCCGCAGAGGGAGCTCAAGTCGTCGCTGCGGGTGTGGTAGAAGGTGCTGAAGAACATGACGCGGGTCCGGTGCTCCGCCGCCGTGAACCGGAGCACCGCCTTCTTGAATCCTCCCTTGCCCTTGGACTGGTAGGGGACCTTGACGGTATCCCCGCCGCCGAAGGCCTCCACCACCATCGACCCCTCGCAGGCGTTGCTGGCGTCGCCGACGGCGAAGCTGAGGGCGTAGAGCTTGCCAGGCACGGTGCGGACCACCTGCGTGAGCGCGCTCTCCCTGCCGGCCACCAGCTCCACGGCGCGCTGCCCCTGTGGCACGGAGAAGTGGGCGGCGTCGATGTACTTCACCGCCTTGAGCGACTCCACCATCCATCCGGGAAGAGGACAGTGGTCGTCCTCAATGTTGGGGGGGATCAGAACCCCCCACGGCGCGTTGGGGAAGACGTAGGGGCCTTCCTCGAAATCTCCGTTCTTCAGCAGATTCTCTGCTCAGAAGTAAATAAATTGAAGTTCACATCAAGCTTTAGCTGTTTGGGGAGGAGCAAGAGGAGGAGCCTACTGTTGGTCAAGGCCGGTGGGTAGAGCTCCTTGATGGCGATGGAGTCGATGAGGGGACCGCAGGCGGCGTCTTCCTCAGCGCCGGGGTTGTGGATGACAAGCTCGACGAGGGGTGAGGGGGCCTTGAAGGCCCATGAGTATGAGTCCCAGCCATTGCTGCTGTAGACGGTCTGGATGGGCAGCACGCCGGAGTCCGGAGCCACCGTGACGTTCAGCTTCTCCTCCTGCGCGCAGGTGCGGGCGGCGCTGAAGGTGATGGCGTAGTACATACCGCTGGTCACGGCGATCTTCTGCCGGATGGAGGCCTCGTTGCCGAGGCGCACGGCGAAGGCGCCCTCCGGCACGACGAGCAGCATGTCGCCCTGCTTGTGGCCCGACTCGATGTACTCGACGAAGCCAGAGATCTCCCAACCGGGGACGGCGTGGCGGCCCACCACCTGCGTCCCCTTCATCTCTGACCTCTTCGGCCCCTTCTCGAAGTTGCCGTTCTCCATCAAGCCTGCGCACACCAGTGAAAATCAGTGGTAGCCACCTTTCCTGCCCTCCTCTGGGCAATCTTCAGAAGTAAATGGGGGGAGAACCTGGCACTTTCTCTCTCTACCCCGCAGTAAATGTGAGCTATAATGGAGGGGCGGCCGTTCTCATCTACTACGAAGGCGGAGAAATCGTAAACCAGAGTTTGAAAGCACCAGATATCAAAATGGCAACGAGCGAATCAGGAAGAGGGCGAAGGATGTTGTAGAGCCATGGCTGATGAAGATGGTTTCCGTCCATCGTAGATCCTCCGATGATCGGGGAAATAAGAGGGCGACCGCTGAACGCGAAGAAATCGGAAACAAGACGAGCCTTGGACTTCGCCGCAGATTGAAAGCTATCAGCTTCAGGCCCATCCATCACCCCGGCCAAAACAAAACTCCATGCGACCCACAGAGCCCCCGCGCGGCGGCGGCGGCGCCGCCTTGTAGGGAGAGAAAATCTAGGCGTACCGTCGACGAAGGCTGAGGAAGATACGCGCGCGGCAGCGCAAAGCATCAGCACCACTACGGCGCACGCCATCCTACACCGTCCCTGCTTCATCATCCTCACAGACATCAGACACAGAGAGAGAGAGAGAGAGAGAGAGAGAGAGAGAGAGAGAGAGAGGGCGCCACTCGGCGGAGGTATTCGAAACCAGCTGGAGTTGGCCGCCTTATATGGAGCTGTGCCAAGGGAAGAACCTCTCGGATTTGACGATAAAAGAGGAGAGAGAAACTTCATGGCTCACTGAAGACCTCCGTCCCGTCAGAAGACTGACCCCATGTGGGGAGCAGAAGACGGACCCATCTCGCCGAGCCATCAACGCGATCGCGCCGCCGCCGACTTTGAGCCTCTGTCGTCGTCGTCATCCTCTCAGACCCTTTTCTCCTCCGTGGACTAGCAGTAGTCTACGTGTGCTCTCTCTCTCCCCCCCCCCCTCTCTCTCTAGCCGACTTCTGAGCCCTCTGTAGAGCGGAAGCACATGCCCATGTGTGTCTCCGGCGGGGAATCTGTGGACGGAATGTAACTCGACGGAGCCCAGCGATCCCCACAGAGAAAGAGAGAGAAAGGGGGGGAGGAGAGGAGGAGAGGAGGATTGAATGACAAGCAGCTGTCTCGTGAGAGGACGAGCCAACGGGTCGTGAAGGTGCTGGTGGGGTTCGATAGCGACGCGCCGACCGGTCCAGCGAGTCGGCCAACTCGTCTGTCCGGGTGGGCGTCGAATGGTTGGCGGCATTCAAATGCGAAATTAAATGGTCGAATCATCGTGAATTAAGTACTAGATTAATCAGAATGATGAGGGGGTTCTCCGGGCTGATTCGTTAGGAGGGGAGATTCTGACGATGGTCGGTGTGAGGTGTCGGCGAGTTAAATAAGTCTGGAATCTGCCGAGGCCAAACCAGTTCATATCTGCAGAATCTCACGCGAGAGATCAGGGGGAAAAGAGAGAGAGAGAGAGGGAGAGAGAGAGAGACAGAGAGAGAGAGAGAGAGAGAGAGAGAGAGGAGTTTCCATATATTTCCATGCATGACCTATTATAGAACAGAGACTATATTTACTCTGGATTATGAGGGAAGGGGGAAGAAAAAAGAGGGAGAGAGAGAGAGAACATACATGTTACAACGCACAAAAGACGCAGACCCCGAGTGTCTGGTATATCACACGCGAGGGCGGAGAGAGTCTCCATGCCTGCATTATTTTTTTAGCGAGGGAGAGAGTGAGACAGAGACAGAGTCTGAGAGAGAGAGCAGGAGAGGGGGAGAGAGAGTCTTATGACTTTCATGATATTACGAGAGAGAGAGAGAGAGAGGAGAGAGGGAAATATACATATGCTGGGTATATTTCGGCAGACACGGAGAGAGCGCGCGCTCGCGAGAGAGAGAGAATCTTCTTACATTCATTATTTTACCAGAGAGACGGAGAGAGGTAGAGGGAGGAAGAAAGAGGTTTCATACAGGCAATTTATTAGAAACATAGATAGCTTGAGAGAGAGAGAGAGAGAGAGAGAGAGAGAGAGAGAGAGAGAGAGAGAGAGGTAGAGGTAGAGGTAGAGAGTCTCCATACATCTGTTATTTTACGAGAAAGAGACTCCGGGTGTCTGGTCGATTACACAGAGCGTGAAAGAGACTCCCGTTGTTCACTATTTTATACGAGAGAAAGAGAGAGAGAGAGAGAGAGAGAGAGAGAGAGAGAGAGAGAGAGAGAGAGAGAGAGAGAGAGAGAGAGAGAGAGAGAGAGAGAGAGAGAGGGAGGATCCGAATGTATTATGAAGGAGACTCCCGGAGCGTCCGCTATCAAAGCTCGGACCAGACTGGCCTACTCCAATCGAATAATATTACATATTTGACGTCGGATGACCAATCAGACCAACCTCGGGCCCGACCCGAGGACCCCGAAGCCCGTAATTGGCCTGCCCGACCACAATCCCTATCCGAATCACACCTCACCACCTGTATCCGATTAGCTTCTCATTTATTTCTCAGGAGAAAACCCGTCCCCATCCTCCCCCCTTCCCTCTCTCTCTCTACCCACCCTCTCTCTTCAACTCTCTCTCTACCTCTCTCTCTCTCTCTAGGAGGCATTCATGACGTCCAGGGGAGAGAGCTCTCGCTGGCGGTTCTGTGGCGCTCCACATTTCGTCGAGCACGTGGTGGGCGCCGCTCGATCCCACCCCAAACCAGAGCCTACGAGGAAAATAAATACATTAAGAAAATCCCACTCTTTCTCTCTCCCTCTCTGACCTGGGTCATCGAAGTCGGTGGGAAACATCACATGGCCTCCAGAGTCGCACGTGCAAGACATCAGGCGGCGGACTTGCACGTTTGCAGGTGCGGAAGCGTGAGACTGACGTGTCAGTTGCTGATGCTCTGGGGATTCGGTAACTTTTCAGGCTTTGTCGCTTTACGTATGTAGTTGGTGGAACTCTTAATGGGCCCCGCCCGAGTAATAATGTAATACGGGCCGCTGGATGGGCATGAGAAGCCCACATACATCGCGCCTGGGCCCATCCAAGGCTGCTCGTGGGCTTGACGTTACACCCCAAAGCCCGGAACCCACATTCTGTAGATTCCCTGCACATCACACTAATGGGCCTTATTATTAGAAAAGATGGGCAAACTCATTCTGATCCCATAAATGGCGGCCCAATATTCCACTTTATATCATGGCTTTGTCATTAAAAGGGATTATTGGGCCGATTTGAATTGGGCTGGGCCGTTTAAATAAGTTTAGAATTAACTTTCTCCTGTTTCCTTCATTTTTTCCAACTAAAATAATTTAAATAATAAAATTTAACTAAAATAATTTTCGGGTATAAATTCATTGCTTAAAAATCATTCATTAAATTTAAAGTAGAATAACGAATTTGAGGTATATTTATTGGACACTAATCTAATCTTTCTCTTATACTTGTAATTGTCACTTTAATTAATTCTAATTATTTTAATTAAATAAATACTTGTAGATTCAGATGGAGGTAATTAAGATATTTTAGTGTGTCAATATATGAGTATTTAGTTAACACGTAGAAATCATATAGACAAAGTGGCAATTACCGGTGGATATTTAAATAAAATATAGAAATGCGTATTTAAGATAAATGGGTCTCAAAATCAAAAATAAATACTTTAGTCTTTATGTCGAAATATAAATCGCATTTCTATATTGTGATTCCTTTTCAGACTTCACAAAAAATTATCTGGAAACTTAGAAAAGTATTAATGGCTCCATTGGGTCGGTGGAGCAATGGAGGAGAGAGAGAGAGGAGAGAGAGAAGATCTTAGCCGATTTGGGAGGGAAGGGACCAAAGTCATCTTGTTAGGCGCACTACCGACACCTCCGCGCCATCAGCGGGCTGTCTCCCGTGTTCTCTCTCCCTCTCCCTTTCCACAGCGACGACCTTCCTGTTTCCCGCCGCCGGCGGCCGTCTCCGCCGGTGACGGGACGGATAAAGTCCGACAAGGATCCGCCAGATCGGTGAAAGCCAAGATTCGAATTTTTCAATAGAAAAGCAACGTGTCATTTTGTATTTATGTTTATATTATCCCTGTTAGAAACCATAAATCACTGAGACTTTACAAATGCTTCCTGAAAACTCTGGTAATCAATGTACCCGATTTACAGCCCGCACGTTCAAATAATCCCGGACAGAAATTAACATCTGGGGTCTTACTAGAAGCTTATTTTATATGTCATGGATTGATGATTAACCCCTTCTTGATCTTTTTACTTTCAAGTTGCCACCACTCTCTCTCTCTCTCTAACTCTACTAATTTCCCAACTGAGTATACCACAACTTCTCAAGATATTAGTAGAGTGTGTGTGTGTGTGAGAGAGAGAGAGAGAGAGAGAGAGAGAGAGAGTGGTGGCAACTTGAAGGTAAAAAGATCAAGAAGGGGTTAATCATCAATCCATGACATATAAAATAAGCTTCTAGTAAGGCCCCAGATGTTAATTTCTGTCCGGGATTATTCGAACGTGCGGGCTGTAAATCGGGCACATTGATTACCGGAGTTTTCAGGAAGCATTTGTAAAGTCTCAGTTATGTCACTGTAGAAAAATCCCAAAAATATGTAGACCATTGGGACCATTTAGGGTTGAATTGTTAGATGCAATTATTTTAGAACTGAATCATTGAAACCTAGTTATGTCACTCCCAATCAATCCATATCTCAAGATTGACGTAATCTTAACAGCATGTCCACGAAGATGAAAATTCAATGTTAACTTGTTTAATGCACTTATTTGACAATTAGGCTGTGGGTCTCTCTCTCTCTCTCTCTCTCTCTCTCTCTCTCTCTCTCTCGCTAGCTAGGTGAACCAAAATAATATGTTTCCAACTTATGAAAATTATTTACCATTGACTTGTTTAACCCATTAATTTTGCAATTAAGGTAAAAAAAATCGCACGCCTGGGAAATGTCTCATAGTCTATTCACAATTTTACGTACCTCAGTCTTATCTGTACATATAAAACAAAGAGAGGGGAGAAAAATATCCAGAAAAACCAATAATTACCCCACAATTTGGGCTACGGACTGATATGAAACAGTACCGTTTGGTCGTCTCCATGCTCCATGAGGGAGACATCTCTTAGTGGGGCATTTGAATTGGCGTTACCCTTTAGGGTTTTGGCATCTCAGAGGATCCATAGGTCCAGCTTGCTACTGTCACCAACAAATGTAGCTGTTGATTAAACGCCCTCTTTGGTGGGTTGGGGACTAAAGAAGGGCCATCGGATCTACAAACAGATCAAGGATCCCAATCCTTGTCGAGTGCGAAAAGGGTATCCGTGAGGTCATCATCCAGCGCAATATGGAGACATACGAGTTTAGAAGATTGCTGGAAAACATTAGCTAGCAAACTTTAGAAGATTGATGCTATCATTCACATATCCCTCTGACTCGTAGAGAGAGGGAGAGGGAGAGAGAGAGAGAGAGAGAGAGAGACAGAGAGACAGAGACAGAGACAGAGACAGAGACAGAGACAGAGACAGAGGTAGAGAGAGGGAGAGGGAGAGAGAGAGAGAGAGAGAGAGAGACAGAGAGACAGAGACAGAGACAGAGACAGAGACAGAGACAGAGACAGAGGTAGGGAGGGAGAGAGAGAGAGAGAGAGACAGAGACAGAGACAGAGAGAGAGGGAGGGAGAGAGAGAGAGGGAGGGAGGGAGAGAGAGAGAGAGAGAGAGAGAGAGAGAGAGAGAGAGAGAGAGAGAGAGAGAGAGAGAGAGAGAGAGAGAGAGAGAGAGAGAGAGAGAGAGAAGAGAGAGAGGAACTCAGCCCGAGTTGAGTTCTCCCTCTGACTTCGTAGTCGAAGACCTTCTGGAAAGAACCAGCGCGGGAGGCAACTCATGGCTCGGTAACGTCATTGACATCTCACCAACTCAAGGGGGGTTGGCTTCGTGAGTCACGCCGCACAGGGTGTAAGAAAACGATCCCGTTAATGATTAGTTCCATCACAACCTCTGTATAAAGCCCATTCTTCTTCTCATTGGCTCATGCATAGCTACTCTCTCACTAGTTAATTATCCCCAGGGAGCCTATCCTCCACTTCTCCCACCCTAATCCTTCCCCTCCACTGTTGATGAAGGATGAGCCGAGCTCTCCCCATCTCCATTAATCTATAAAGAGATTGGCGGAGAAATGGGCAATCGTTCACCTATCCGAATAGGGGTAGAGAAGCAAACAGTGGGCGCGTGGCCACCTCCAGCTGTGACAGGAGAGGCAAGTATCCCCGCCAAAGGACAACGAACGGTAAAGAACAGAGAAAGATCGAGGTAGATGTGATAAAGTGAGGGAGACGGAGGAATTTGGCCGTTACCTCTCTATCGTTTGATACCGATTTGATGTGCCCGGGATTTTGAATTTGGAGTTCCGGCCTCTTTCTGTCTATATCTTAGTCGTGTCCGCCTTCAAAAGGATCCGGCTTTCCTTGTATCTCTCGGATCGGGCGGAGCCCAGGGCTTCAGAAGAGTCTGACACCTGAAATTTTTTCGATATCATATTTATAGAATTATATTACTCGATCGAAGTAGCCCCAGCAATGAGACAATATTCAGCGACTAGTGGTGAGGGAGGGAGGGGGAGGGCGAGAGAGAGAGAGGGAGGGCCAGACCCTATCAATGGCTAGATATGGCCAATTATAGACGGAAGGAGGCTAGAACTCCTAACCCAGATTTAAGACTTATCTGAAGAAATGAAATTAAACTGGAGGTAACGGCCAAATTCCTCTCTCTCCCCGAGCTCGTACTTCATCGGAGTCTAGTGCATAGCCTATTTTTCGATCGCTTCGTTAAATACTCAAAAACATTTGATGATATGCGGAAGTCAGCGAGCATCGGAGCTGAGAAATGTATCAGGGATGTGAGCGAGTCGGACCGAGTCGGAGAAGAACAGCTGGAAGTTGGTGGCACGAGATTCCGATCCTCCTGTGACCCGGCGATGAACAGTGCAGGAGGGTGGGGGAGAGGGCCATGCTGGAATAGTGGGTCTCTCCAGTCCCCTTCAATCGGAAACGACTGTTCCAACTGTGCCCAGCTTCGTCTGCCCTCCATGAGGACAAGAGAAATGAGGAATTCATTTCAACGTCGCCCCCCTCTCTCTCTCTCTCGTTCTCGCTATGTATAAATATCTGTCTAGCCCCTCGACGCGACCTGTAAAGAGCTATTCCCATGGAGAGGGATAAGAGAGAGAGAAAGAGGGGGGATAGCAGCCTGCATGTCTCTCTGCATTTTGATCAGAAACAATAGATACACATTTATTTTTATACATGTACCGACTGAGAGGGGAGAAGAACAACCTGCATGTTTCGAGGGAGAGAGAGAGAGAGAGAGAGAGAGAGAGAAGAGAGAGAGAGAGAATTAAGATGTGGAGATGCGGTTGCCCTCTCGTCAATGTACATGGTTCTGCAATACGCAGAGTAGTTTAGAGATCATATCCTCGAAACCCAGCTCTTTAGCAGGAGTAGAAACCATGTTCACCCAATTATCGACCCTGAAGTATCTTCTGCTGCAGTCTCAGGGAGGAGCTTGAAGATAATCGGCGCTCCGTGCTGGGGGCTGAGGATCATCGACACGATCGGCGCGTGGACGTACGCTGGCGATAGCCGGAAGGAGAACCGCCGGAGGAGGACGGCCATGGCGAATTTGGCCTGCATCAGGGCCAGCCTTTGCCCCGCACAGGTGCGAGCTCCCAGCCCGAAGGGCATGAAGGCGGCGGGATGCGCCGCCGCTCCCGCCACCCCGTTGACGAACCGGTCCGGGTTGAACTCGCCTGCATCCTGCCCCCACAGCTTCTGGTCGTGGTGGACTGCCAGTGTGGATATCACGAGCTGCGTTCCCCTGGGTATCAACCGCCCTCCGAGCTCTACGTGGGTATTCGCCGTCCTGGTGGTCGCCACCGATGGCGGATAAAGCCGCAGTGTCTCGTGGAGGATCATGCTCAGCTGGAAAATCGGAAAAACCCTGATACTTTTAGACATCCACGATAAGATATATCAAGAATGACATCCACGCAGTGTCACAGTATTTTCTATATTATTTTCTCTCCCCTTCTAGTGGGTAGATTCGCCGGGAACTCACTTTCTTCAGCTTGCCGATTTGCTCGGCGGCGGGAACGCTGCTCCAGCCGCAGACGAGGAGGACTTCCCGCCGGGCCAGATCCTGCCAATCGGGATACATCGCTAGGAGCACGGTGGCCCACGTGAGAAGGCTCGACGTGGTCTGCTTCCCGGCGTGGAGGAAGGTCTTGCACTCTTCCACGATATCGTGCGGCGTGATCGCCGGCGCCGGCACCGGAGATGACGACGTCTTGACGGCGGCGCCTATGAGGAGGTCGAGCAAGTCCGTCGGGCCGTGGTTGTCCTTGGGAGCCGCCTCTGCGGCCGCGCGCTGTTCCTTCCGGAGGCCGATTAACCTCGCCAGTGAGCTCCTAATCTCCTTGTTCAGTTTCCAGTAGGCGGTGTTCCTCTTCGTGGGGAGCAAGCTTCATGAATTAATTCCTGAAAACAATTAGATTTCGCGAATCGATCGTTGTTCGCTATAGGAAGTTCGAAATCGTACCAGCAGCCGGGGAAGAAGACGTTGCGGAAGGCATCGGCGGCGAGCGCCATCTGCTGAGCTTGCAGGCCGAAGATTGCCTCTCCATGCTTGTAGCCGCCACCGAGGACTGCGCGGCTTACAACCTCTCCCGTAAGCTTCTGGAAGTATTCCGTAACTTCCACCTCCGCCTCGCCGGACTCCGGCGAGACTACCCACTGCTCCGCCATCTCCGCCATCCTGTTTCCGATCACCGGTATCAGCAACTGAAGCCTCGAAATAAGAACAACCCCCATATTAGTTGGCCTTGTGTATTGAGATTAGGGCAGCTCATGCAAAGGAGGAGGACGATCTTGCTTACTCCGAGGTTGTCTGGATGGAAGAGGGGGGAGACGACCTTGCGGTGGTAGGCCCATCTCTCTCCCTGGAGATTCAACAGTCCTTCCCCCTCGAGATGCCTGACCAGCGGGTGCCGCTCGTCCCTCTCGAAAGCGTCTGCCCTCGAGACAAGGATCTCACTGATGAGATCCGGGTCCCCCACGGTCAACCTCGCCGTTGGTCCGAACCAGACCAGGAAGTTGGACCCTTCATGAAGAAGATGACGACCCACATCAAAACCAGGGATAGCGAGAGAGAGAGAGAGAGAGAGAGAGAGAGAGAGAGAGGGAGGAAGGTGGGCTTACCGTAGATCTTGCTCCAGTGATTGTGGAAGGGGAGGACCCTGGGGAGGATGTTGTGTGAGAAAGGGAGCGCCATGGGCTTGGAGGAGGCCTCCAGCGTCATCCTGATCAGCTCCGTCAAGTTTCCCAAGAAGAAGCGGTAGGGAGGCCCCTTAATCCCCTGCCTGGAGAAGTGCTCCTCCACTCTCCTCGGCCGCCACAGGAGAAGCTCCAGCGCCCACCATGCGGCCAAAATGGCGCACAGCAGCAGGGCCGCCGGCAGCCACAACCACTCCCCCGCCCCTTCCCACGCTTCGCCCTTCATTCAGGCTCCTCCCCTTCTCTTATCTCCGGCCCTTTCTCTCTCTAGACGCCTGGTGTAGCCGAAGGGCTAGAGACAGTTACAGCTACTCTACCTTCTCAGGGGATTCGATGTAAACATCGTGGTGTTCATAGACAAGGTAGAGATGGAGGGGGAACGAGAGAGAGAGAGAGAGAGTTTGCGAGGAAGGGGGAACAGCGGGTGATATTATATAGGAGAGGACGCCATCAACGAGGACTAAGGAGAGCCAGAAATTCGATTCGACTGTACGAAATGGACGACGATCACCGCCGACAGGTTCTTGGCCGTCCGATCTTCGGGGCATGCCCCTTGGAAACGTGTATCACAGATCTGACGGACACAACGCATTCGTGCACCTCCCCTCGGTAGGCTTCTTGGGCTTAGTTGGCCCCAATCTCCGCCCATGGGCCTTGAACTTTGGGCCCACTCCATTTACATATACATATAAATAGAGAGCGAGCGAGCGAGCGCGAGAGAGAGAGAGAGAGAGAGAGATCTTAACTTGGCTCTCTTTCTCTGTGCACGCTCATACTTTTCCACCTCTGATTTTGTGCATCTCCTCTCTCTCTCTCTCTCTCTCTCTCTCTCTCTCTCTCTCTCTCTCTCTCTATGTATGGGTGTGCACGCATCCGGTTTATATATTTCGAGCAAATTTAATAAGTGCCATACAAAATTCGGGCAGATTTATTAATTAAATTTAAATCATTGATAAAAAAATCATAAAATCCAATACATTTGCGTTAAAAAAAGGCCGGGAACGAGCGATACGATCGCATACATATATATTTATACAGACGCGGAGTCTTATTTTTGAGAAATAAAGTGGGAATTTTCTTTCCTGCGGGCAGAAGCAAAGGGCGGCGGATCAGGGCAACCCCGCCGCACGTGTGTCGGAGAAGAACCAGAGCACGGCGGCGCAGGCGAGGACCACGAGGGGGATTATGTGGACGGCGCCCTCAGCCGCCCTCCTCCGCGCCGCCTCCTTCCTCGCCATGTCCGACCGCGGGTCGTATCTCGGCAGCAGCGCAATCTCCTCGCCCAATTCTGCCGCCACCGCCGCCGCCGCCGCCCGCTCCCCTCCCCCGGCCTGCGGCGGCGGCACCGTCCTCCCCACGCATAGCTCGTCCATGCCCCCCTTCTTGCTCCCCGACCTGTGCATCTTCTTCTTTCGCTCACAGAGAGAGAGGAGAGAAAGAGAGAGAAAGAGGCGGCGGTGGATCTACGTAGGAATGGAAGAAGGAGGGGACACCGTTGACCTTGAGGTGGAGAGGGGGGATGGGGGGGGTGAGACGTTTCTTCAATTTTCGTCGAGAGAATGATTTTTGTTTTTTTCTTATAAGGGATCTCTCTGGGTTAAACGGGCCTTTATTGGGCTATATTTTGTGTTGACTAACAGCGTGCCCATTAACGTGGGGGAGGTATGCAGCAGGCACGCGCCTGTTCGGAGACCGCTTTTTAAACGTGGCCCCGAGGTCAAAGCCTACCGGAGTGAGGAGAGAGAGAGAGAGAGAGAGAGAGGGGAAGAGAGAGAGAGAGGGGTGACCTGAGAGCTCGTACGAACACCAGCGATGGCGGCGACGATGTGGCGGAAGGCGCCGGCGGGGCTTCGAATCCTTTCGTCTTCCTGGCGGTCAGTCCTAGGTATTGGTGGATCCAGTGGCGGCGTTGGATCCTTCTCCCACGAAACCCTACGCAACCGTGTCTGCGCCACGTTGTCGTCATCGCTTCACTCCTCCCCATTCCAGGGGACGTCTCCTCTGTTCTCCCCTGACGCTGGTGCGCGTCTTATGTGAATCCCCGGTTTTATTCCGTCTCTTGTTTTACCGCTGCTTTACGGCCCTGTGACTCTTTTGATTCGTTTACTCAAAGCCGACGCTGTGACAAATAAGAAAGTGGAGGATATAATGCCGATCGCCACCGGACACGAGAAGGAGGAACTTGAGGCTGAGCTCGAAGTATGCCCGTTTCGTTGAGGTTCTTTATTAGATTCCCAGGACTCTATCCAAGGTTATAACTGATTGTTATTTTCAGGGGAGGAAGAGGTTTGATATGGATGCTCCTGTTGGACCATTCGGTACAAAGGTATTGGTTTTGGATCATTAGTTTGATCTTCTTAGTATGTATTTTATGTAGTCAATCGCGAGTGCTGAGGTCACTACATCGGATTCTAGTGGGAATAATCACGAAATTGCATTGCTGACATTGTATCAGTGTGGCCGATTTTTAACTGATGGTGCATGGGCCTTGTCTTTGTTTTGTTGTATTATTATTTCGTATTCATAATTTATTGTTCACTATTCTTAACAGGTTTTTTCTTTCTATCATTGCATTGGTTTTCTGTTTTCATTTCTGGGAGAAAAGATATAATTTTTTTCTTTCTGTGAGTGTTACCTGATATTGTATCTGGGTATCATTATTGTTCTTTCTTTGCTGTGAAAACCTTTTCAGTTGTTTAATCATGAAATTTGGGGAATGTCGTGAGTTTGTTGAAAGATCACTCTCTCAGCTGTGGTTAGAACTATATGCTTCATTGAGGTGTAGTGAGCTATGCCTTTGTTAGCACATTGAGGTGAGGGAGTCTTACCTTCCGAATAGTGGTGGCCTTTGTAATCATAGAACTTGGCGTACTATGTATCTACTGTCCCTAGGAGTTCTGACCCAGTGTTCTAGAAGCCATAATTCATTTACCCAATTGCTGTTTAGAAACTGGAAGAACAGGTGGATGCTGTTATAATCTCCTGCGCATGGTTGATGATGTTAAAAGCTGTTATAGATCATAGCCTCTGGCAATTATCTTCAAGAAAATCTGGTTTAGGCTTCTACTGACGTGGAGAACGGATAATTCTATCAATGTACAGATAGTCCTACTCAGCTTCAGGAGAAAACAAGGGTTGGTGATGTGGGCAGTGGTCCTACGGACCCAATATTTATCACCTGATGATGAACAATCTATCTAAACATAACTGGCTAATTCTATCAATATACGGATAGTCCTACTCATCTTCAGGAGGAACCAAGGGCTGGTGATGGCGGGAGTAGTCCTATGGATCCAACATTTATCACCTTATAATGAACGATTTATTTTTCGTTACAGGTCCTCAGACTACATACCTTTATGTGCTATTTGTACAATAACATTTGAGAACGATAATTTTGTTCGATAATTGTTTTTTTATACAGTGTTTTATTTATTAAAATTAATTAATGAATTAATTAGGGCCAAGGATCAGAAAAAATCGGCAGGTTCCAATGTTGCCAATGTGGATGCTGGTATTTTCTTTAAAATGCCTCCAATGCTCTGCTTGCTATTGTGAGAGTACCATCCCTTTTTTTTTAAATCCATACTTGAACTTTTGTCATGTAGTATTTTAATGTCAATAAGAGAGTGATAAAGAAATGTGAAAATTGTGTTTCACACAGTTTTAGAGGATTATTTTGGTGATAGAGGTTTTTTATGAACCTTGAATGATGCATAAATGTATGGTCCGTGTAGATGCTCATTTTTAGAGTTGATTCGTTCTATCACAAGTACTTGAATACTTAATATTAAAGGTAGGTTTATTGCATTTTGTGTTGGTAGTTCGTTCCTTCAAAGTTCATTTATGACGTGGCAAATTTACCGTCCTGGTTTTTTGTAATTCTGTTTTCGCAGAAAATGAAGAGGCTTTGGTTAATCTTGCCTTGGCTGAAAACACCATGATCCTCCTGATCCTTGCTAGGATAACTGCTTGGTTATGTTCCCCTATCCAACTGAAGTACCTTATAGTCTTTTATATGTTGTTCGGCTGTTAATGTCAAGTTCCTCGGATCCAAACAAAATATCAGGAAAAGATTGGATTTATTTTGTTCATCGGATGTATGACCATTATAGGTGATGGTCACTGAATGTTTTATGTTTAGGGATGGTTCTGACGCTATAATTTCTCGGCTTCTGGATCCCCACACGAGATACCTCTGAGAAAATGATTCTTATACTGTCACATTGCTTTTTATTTGGTTCGGTTCATGCCATTAACCAGGTTCCAAAGAAAATGAAACCTATAAAACCTTGTTATGTAGAAATATTATCAGGTCTTCTTTCCTCGCCATGGAACCCTCAGACCGAGGTTCAGACGGCGTATCCACCCACAGATGCCCATTAGCAGTCTGCATTCCTTTTGAAGATCCCATGGATCGTAGGGGAAAATATTTCTTTTTGTATTAAATCATTGCTACCATATAAGAGTCCTCAGCGTTAATTTTATCCATTGGTTTATTTTTGATCGTAGGAAGTACCTGCTGTAGTCCAGTCCTACTACGACAAGAGAATTGTTGGCTGCCCAGGTGGCGAGGGTGGTAAGTCTCGATCTACCCTACACCTTCACGATAGTTTATCTAGCTTGTGCCATCTCTGGTAAGCAAGACCGTGTTTCCCTATTTTAGAGATTCATTTCCCAGTGGCCCTATAGATTGAGACTCAACTCTTGGTGATATTTACTTGCATAGCCTATCTTTTTTTTTTTTTAAGTCCTAAATTTTGAGAAAAAAAATTGTCCTTGAGATGGGAAATACCAGCTTGCGGATCTGACATAAATTATATTAAATCATTTTAGCTGAATCAAATATATATTGCCGTGAAATATCTTCCCTTTAACAATCCTGAATTGAGGCCCACCCATTGATCCACAAATCGAGGCATGAAGATTTCAACTCTGTGATGGGCTCTCCTCATGATCTCTTATGTGCTTCTAATTTCTTTGCATCTCAGAGGATGAGCATGATGTCGTCTGGTTTTGGCTGGAAAAGGATAAGCCACACGAGTGCCCTGTGTGCTCACAGTACTTTGTGGTAATTTCTTCTTAAAATCTTCTAATTTAGATCAAAAAAAGAAACGAGGATCCTTTACATTCTAAAGGCCTGTTTCCTCATTGGTTTCCTCTCTGAATGTCCTCCAGCTGGAGGTGATCGGTGAGGGAGGTCCTCCAGATGGCCATGGCGATGACGAGGAAGAAGATGAAGACCATCACTGAGTCTCTCCTGGTGTGTTCCATCTTCAGTCCGTTCTCTTGTCCTCGAATCGTTCTTTGGTTGCTTCTTGATGCTGTTGGGATAATAAAATCGCACGATTTGTTCTTCGGCCTGCTGTCTATTTAAACTCGTATTTTCTTGCTATTCTCAATAATTGAAGGGCAGTCTTTATTCCCATTTTTTCCCCATATCATGATGATATTGGAAACTCTCGTGTTGAGATTGCGGCCGATTCTTAGTGTATCTATTCCAAAACTAACTCAGATACATGTCTCGAGCTTATAGCTGATTCTCAGATCGGATGGTGCCCGGAGAACAGATTTCTTACCTGGTATTTACTCTCTCTCTCTCTCTCTCTCTCTCTCCCCACCAATCGGCTCCATCCAACCCCTTCCTTCACTGTCGCACTCATCACCCTCTCCTAATTGTTGAGAATAACATCAAATTAATTACGAAAAAAAGAGAGAAAACCTTTCATCGTGTAGGGATGGGCATGCTCCACTCGCTGTCGACTAGCCTTCGAATTAAACGGGCTGCTAATTACACCAGCCGTCAGCGTCGGCCTTTCTTACGAGATAGATTGCGAGAGAGAGAGAGAGAGAGAGAGAGAGAGAGAGTCCTCGAGGAGAATTCTAATTCTGAAGCGTCTCCGCCGCCGCGCCCCGTCGGGAGAGCAGAGTTTCGGTCCTCCCTCTCTGCAGGTGCCACTCCGCCGGGCGGGGGGGGGGGTTGGACTAGCAGAACTCCCCCGCGATGGGGTTCGCAGAGTGGGTCCGGCCCGACGGCCGCCTCCTCGGCTACAGGCGCGTTGGAATTGGGAGAAATGGGCGTCCGCCTCTGTAGGCTCGTCTTCCGGTGAGAATTTGCAGAGAGGGAGGACCGAAGTTCTGCTCTCGGGGCGGGGCGGGGTGGCGAAGACGCTTCAGAATTAGAATTCTCCTCGAGGATTAAAAACTATAAATGACGGAAGAAGGAAATTATGAGTTAATGGGCTTGGGCCGACGTTCTGACAATGTGAGAGTGCCGGCGTGTTGACAATATCACACGTCGGCACCATGTGAGAGTGTCTCACTAACTGTTGAAGGATGAGGGGGTATCGGACGTCTCTACGGTGTCTCATTTAAGCCACTCCTTTTCAAACGGGATTAGGATAACGTCATTAATGCCATCTGATCTCCAGGATGTCCGCACATATGACTAGAATTAATGCCTCGAACCATAATAATAAGTAGCAATAAGCATTTAATCCAGATATTTAATCACGTACTTCGATTTAAGCAAAGCTGTAGACGACCAGCATATACACAGAGATCAAAGCATCAGGAGTTTATTTCGATCCTAAGTGGGAAGGAAGAGCCTGGTCGTCCCTAGCCCATGAGATCGTGTAATAGACGAAGATGAGGGAGAAGATGATACCGAGGACGACGAGAGAAAAGAGGGGAAGCTCCATGTAGACCCTCGGTACATAGGCCACGAGCAGGAACATGACACCCATGACCGTCGGTTTCCGCTGCACCCGAGCCATCGCGGGGCTACGAGGAAAGATGAGTGAGAAGAGGACGAGGCTGAACCCCGTGCAGAAGGCGAGGTGGAGGAAAGTGGAGTGGATATGGAAGAGGAGGCCTTGAGGAGTCGGCCACGGCGGCTGGTTCATGATTAAGAAGGCGGAGATTGTGGCGAGGAAGAATACCGCGGCTTCGACGAAGCGACCGCCGTCGAACGATGTTGCCGAAGCGCCCGAATTCGAGGGGCCAACGATGTTTTGGACGTCATCGGCCGGGATCTCGATCACCACAGCGTCCGCCAGTGGCGCCGCCATGGACGGCCGTCGCTGCTCTGCGGAGTTCAAAGACAGAGGCCACCGGAGGAGCTGTGCTACCATGGACAAAGATATCTAGAGATACTGGGAGAGGGTCAAACACCCACCTGTTATATAGAGTCTCCGTGGATCTCTTTTCCATTGAATTTCTTCTCCGTGGATCACTTTTCTCTCTTCTCTCTCTCTCTCTACCTACACGCGTTCTCTCTCTTTTCTATCATCCAGTTTCGCTGGATCCTCATCCAGCCAGTTTGACCGAGGGTCTGTACCGTACGAGTCAGCCGTCGTACCGATCATCCACTTTCGCCAGTTTGATGGAGGTCCAATCATTTTTTTCTCTCCAGTTTGACCGAGGGTCGCATTCTGCCGCATGAGTCCGCCGTCGCACCGATCGATCATCCAGTTCCAGCCAGTTACGAGTTCGCCGTCTCACTAGTTTGACCGCATCCTGCCAATGGGATCCATTCGTCCACGGTCGCCATTGGCGCCCATTGCAAGCTCTCCGGCGACACCAGATCGTCGGCGGTCCCCACATCGGCGGTCATTGCACCCAGTCGACGGTAGCCATCGTCAAGTACCCATTGCAAGCCATCCGGCGACACCAGATCGTCGGCGGTCGCTATCGGCACCCATTATTCCGTGGTCGACATTAGCACCCATTGCAAGCCCTCTGGCGACGTCAGATCGTCGGCGGTCCCCATCGGCGGTCATTTCACCCAATCGACCGTAGCCATCGTCGTGCACCCATTGCAAGCCCTCCGGCGACACCAGGCACCCGTTGCAAGCCCTCTGGCGACGTCAGATCGTCGGCGGTCACCATCGGCGGTCATTGCACTCAATCAACCGTAGCGCCATCGTCAAGTGCCCAATGCCCGCTCTTGTCCTCTTATGCTGGTGCAATCCTGTGCATGTCGGTACCTAGGCCACCCCGACCCCCCGCAGTCATTGCAGGCCATCCGGCGACCGCATCCTGCCAATGGGATCCATTCGTCCACGGTCGCCATTGGCGCCCATTGCAAGCTCTCCGGCGACACCAGATCGTCGGCGGTCCCCACATCGGCGGTCATTGCACCCAGTCGACGGTAGCCATCGTCAAGTACCCATTGCAAGCCATCCGGCGACACCAGATCGTCGGCGGTCGCTATCGGCACCCATTATTCCGTGGTCGACATTAGCACCCATTGCAAGCCCTCCGGCGACGTCAGATCGTCGGCGGTCCCCATCGGCGGTCATTTCACCCAATCGACCGTAGCCATCGTCGTGCACCCATTGCAAGCCCTCCGGCGACACCAGGCACCCGTTGCAAGCCCTCTGGCGACGTCAGATCGTCGGCGGTCACCATCGGCGGTCATTGCACTCAATCAACCGTAGCGCCATCGTCAAGTGCCCAATGCCCGCTCTTGTCCTCTTATGCTGGTGCAATCCTGTGCATGTCGGTACCTAGGCCACCCCGACCCCCCGCAGTCATTGCAGACCATCCGGCGACACCCAATCGTCGGCGGTTGCCATCGGCGGTCATTGCACCCACCAATCGACGGTCGTCATCGTCAAGTGCCCAATGCCCACGCCGGCGATACGAGGCACTCGTTGCAAGCCTCCGGCGACACCAGATTGTCGGCGGCCATGGGCACTTGAAGTCCGTACCTAGTCCGCCCCGGCATGCCGTGCGACCAAGGTATTAAATAGAGTTTGGTTGGGAGAAGACAACCGATATGGTACTAAACATTTGGCCTCCTCCCACCTCCCAACAGCCCAATAGAAACTGGAACAGGCACAATCCAACGTTCAAAACCAGCCCAGACCACTAGGAGACATTTTGAGCCTAGCTGATACCGACACTCCAAGTTCGACATTTTAAAGGGCTACGCACAGCGTCGGTGGGCCCATTCAAGTCCCCTAATCACCGCTGGACATTTTTAATTCTGCGTCCTCCGATAGTCCAACCACGTTTTCAGTATCATCACGGTCCAGAAAACTTAGATCGAGTGAGAAATCCTAGTCAAAGTTCCATGGCAGCGGTATCTGAGACTTAATCTTGTCCTTGGTCGCCTGCAAGATCCTGCGCCTGAAGGCCACGTCACTCTGCAGCCGCCCTCACGATTTGCAGACCTTGGTGATATTGCTTAGACCGAACAGCATCTGCGTCCAGAAGAAATCCTCCTTCTGGTGACGTGGGAAGGAAGGCGCCAATGGGCGGTCGGGCTCGCACCTGCGCTGCTGGTCTCGGCAGGGGGTGCTGGCGCCGCTGTGCGCGCCGCTTCCTCTAGAGCTCATTTTTTTCCTCCCCTACCGAGTCTACAGATAGCGAGCAGCAGGCAACATGAGAGGAAACGTGCAGGAGGGTATCTCTCGCAGGGTGAAGAGGCTGGGGTTTCCAAGTTGCTGGGGTAGGAAGGAATGGGGTTCTAGGGTTCTCGAATTGTTATGGTAAGAAGGATAGGGTCGCGAGGGTTTTATCTTAGGGTGGCACCTGGGTTCTAGTTTTAAGGAGATGAGGGAATCTCGAAAAATCTAGAATCTCTACTTCTCGCTCTTTCTTCTACTCATTTCAGTTTGCTGTTCCCGCTAAGCATGTCCTTCTCTCTCCAATCTCTCTCGAGCAGATGGTGGAGGTGTAACTGATGGCCAGTCCCATTTTCAACTACCCGTGAAAAATTCTTGGCCCTTCTCACTAAAAAGTTTTTGCTGAGAACATTCAAATTAAAAGATCTAGTGCTGAGTTCCAGATAACGATAATGAAAATAAATGAAAAACATACTTGAGTCCATTTTGATCTGAATCTAACTTGGAGTTTTGGCTTTTTAGATTAGCACATCAGAGTCGTCATAATTGAATGACTTTGTTCTTGGAGTGATGGAATACTTCAAGAGTAACTCTAACATAATGTATGATACAATGACCGACCTTTATTTATAATCAAGAGGTGGTTTGATTCTTAATGTCATTTTTTAAGTATGAATGTGTAGTATGGAAATTACATAAAATGTGATTTGATATATATATTTTTAATTAGTCTACTTAATTATGTATGAAGATCAACTAAATATGTTTTGAGTGAGAATAAACATAAATTTTTTATTTGTAATAAATAGCTAAAAGATATATCTATAGTCATATAAGTATTGACGTGACTTAGTCCTTGTATAGTAAATTACGTAAATTTAAAATTTATAAAACTAGAAAATACAAATTTTTAGATATTTAGAAGTATTTCTAAACAAATATATCAAGTATAATTTAATAAAACTTCCAAAAATAGCGATAATTTTCCAGGTCAATCACAAGGATGTAATATAATATCACGTAATTATTCAGAATTTGTTTTCAAAAAATACTATTTTCTATGAATTTTATACTATGAAATAAAAATAAAATATATTAAAAATTTATAAAAAAAAGGAAATAAGGGTGCAAACATAAGGATGATATCAGCACCTGGCAAACGTAAATCATGTGACTGGCAAATGTAAATCATAAGCAATTATAGACAATTTAATTGATCAAATTAAGATCTATAAAAGTCAAAATAATCATAATTGAATGAAGTATATCTTGATAAATTTAAATCACACAAATTATCACTAAATGAAGTAGAAATTAAGTTGAAAGTAGGAAAATAGAGTTCCGGCATCACAGCAATGTGTCAACGATGTACCAAAATCCTGAGCGTTCAGAAGAATAGTCATTACATTGTTCATGGCCTCAAATGTTCTCCTTGGACAAAGACGACGTGGGTAATCTTTAGATCTCTTTGTGAAGTCTAGAGATCAATGAAATGGGTTGTCAAATCATCTCTAGCGGCTGTCACTCGACGGAGTAAAAAAAATAGTAATTTTGCGGCTCTTCGGTGACTATTACCGACAGAGAGGAGCTAGATGGAGGTGGGGCAAGTGTCAAAGAGCTTCATCCTCAAGTCCGCATAGCAAGAAGAAGCTCTTCATCGCATCCGGTATGCTCTCAAGAAGTGGTAACTCGTCTCCTGACGGATCATCTTCTTCTTGACGATGACTTTTTCATCGATCAATTAGAGATGCTTTACTCGATGGATTCATGATCCTTTTATCGTGAATTGTTCAACAATTTTAGTAACAATGTTTCGTGAATCGCGTTGATGAGATTTTCGCCGATGATCTAACGATTCTGGTTGTTTAATCCTTCACTAGCAATCTATAAGAAAGTCATAATAATCAGATAAAAAATATGAGTTTTTGTTCTAGGAGGATTTGAACCTGTGCTGATTTCTCGGCCTTTTCTAGAGAAGGTGTGATACGGGTTTAGTCCCACATCGTTGTGCGCCAAAGTTTCTGATAAATATATAGTAATATTACATTTATGATCAAGTCCCTTTCTCGTGTGTATGTATGATCACTCCTTGCCCCACAACTAGTTGGCCATTGGTGACATGGAAGGAGAGTAGCACACATGCGCCTCTGTCGGTCCTAGCCGCTTGAGCCCCTGCTCGTGGCTCCTCCTCGACTGTGCTTTCGACCCACTTGCGGGCTCGGCTGGCTGACATATCCCCCCTATTTTACTATTTTTTTATTTCTTTTTCTTCATTTATCTCAAAAGTAAGACTATAAAAATCATATAAATTCGTATAAAATCACATAATTACCCAAAAATTCACATTAATCAACTGAAAACCACTTTTCACACTTTAACACATATAAGTTTATTTATCATGAGTTAAAACTAAAACTATATTATTTATTAATTATTAACTCATAATAATGAAGACTTATCAAGCATCAACATAAAAACTCATACTAAAACGATACATCCTCACAAAGAATTATACTTATATAAGTAATATATTTCTGAATATCTTTGGTAATGTTGAAGTAGTGAAATACATGATATTTTGATGATGAACAAGAAGTTTAAAATTAATCAAAAGATTAAATTATGACCAGTTCTAAATTTTCATGATAAGAGATTGAACATGAAAATTATAAAGTTTAATCCAAAATAATATTAGTAAAAGTTCATATGAAAACTTATTAAGTGTATTCATAACACATGATGTTAAACTACTTAAACTAACTAACTAAAATATGAAGAGTTATTATTTTTTATGTTGCGGTGGAAATTCACACTATTTTTGTATGTTGTTCTATAAGTCCTTATTTACAATTAATGTTTCATTCATAATAACTTCTAATACTTGATAATCAAAGCTCTACACAATGATTTATATCTTGTTCTTATAAAATATATAATTTGATTAAAAAAACAAAGGTGGTTGTGAGTTGAGTTCCCTTTTAGACTATATCTTCATTTGCTGACAATTGGATTTGCTCATCAAAGAAATTTCTTAAATATGTATAGAGGTAGGTTATAATACCATAGGTTGAGTTATAGGCCACACTATGATCAAGAAGAGAAGACATGAAATGATTTTATATCGTCATTAGGATAAGATATTTGTCAATAAATTAATATTTTTCTTAACTTCTTAATTCTATGAAATTGATAATTGTAAGCTAGAGGGATTTTATTATGGCTTGGCTCTCTACTTAACTCTACTCTTTAAGGATAAACTTCATTCATAGGTTTCACTAATTATGATCTTTTGATCACAAAATATTAATTACACAATCCTTCTTTTAAATTTATGTCATTAATCTTTCCATGAGGATGTATATGCTTTGTTCTATGTGCAAAATGACTTCTTTCTTTGGCTTTTAAATGTCAACATTTGGCAACAAAAATCCCCCTAGTACTTCCATAGGCCACAGATCTTAATTTCCTCAGTGCTTGAAGGATGTGAATTTGTTTCCTACCCACTTGAGAAGGGAGAGAGAGAGAGAGAGAGTGGAAGCATAACCCCGCTTGAGGAAATCTTGGGTTATATGTGGTGTGCTCCTCAACCCTCACTACCCATCTAGAGATTCCTCTTTGTGCTTAGAGATTACTTACCCTTAGAGTAACCAACTATGTGGCTTGTGTTGGATTTGCATTATGTGCATCTAATGTTGTCATAGATCTTATTTATCTCCTTCCTTCTACATGGATTTCTTTCTACCCCACGCATTTGTGATTAGCTGGTTATCTAGATCAAGTCTGGAAAGATTTCCCCTTTCTCTGTAATGGGTTTTTGCATTCATCCCATCTTCAAGGAATCAATTTCTCGTCAACCTCTTCGCAATAAATTTTATTACCTTCTATGATCGATCCTCATAGTTCTACTTTCTCTCTCTAAATGCTGATCATCAGCCTCCTTCATTGACAAGTCTGAAGAATGCCCCATATTAAACATATTAGACCCCTTGTATGCATCATCTTAGGCGCACCTTAGGTACGATGCTGAATTGAGGATCTTAATCTCAAGTTTCAAGTTGATCATCTTTTGCTATCTTAAGAAGTGGATTGTTGGTTCCCAAATCTGAATATGGCTCTAAATCACATATGTTCATTCAAGAAATCAACTTATTTATTTATTTCACAACTATCATTCAAGATGGATTAGCCTCCTTTTCTCGATAGACTTCACATAGTTATCAAGTATAAACATAGAGGAAAATATAAATTTCTTATTTTCTATATCAAGATAATATCTATTATTCTATTGATGTAAGAATTTGATCTAGAAATCAAAGATAGAAAAAAGATTTGAAAAGCATTGTGGCTGATCATCTTTCTAGAATTAGACATTCGACAACACTTCTCAATAAGATTCATTTTTTGATCAATAATTTGTTGGTCATGAGGACACTCAACCGAGATGCACAATTTAAGAACATTCCAATAGGTAATTATGTGCCACTATGTAGTGCTGCACACCATCCTCTGGTAGTGGACCTCATGATGATATTGAAGGAGTGCAGCTACTCTTGCAACATGATGGCAAAGTGTAAGATCATGAGGGAAATGAAAGAAAATATGGCCTACATTCTGCTCGACAACAAGCAGGAGTAGGAGATCATTAGGACCAGCTCCACTGTCAAGAAGAGCTATGAGCTGCTAGATGGGTAAGTTACCACGATTGGGGCCAAGTGGTTGAGTTGCCTTTACGTCATTTTCGTGTTGGCACTGATTTTCATGAAGACCATCAGCATCCACAAGACCATCTATATTGAGAGATGGCTCATATCTCACTTGGCTCAATGATGGCACTCGAATAAAAGCTTACTTGGCTAAGCATAAAAGGATCATGAAAAAAGTGATGTTGTTTGTTTTTCTATTATGTTTGAAGGTATTTTGTAAGCTCTCTAGAAATGGGAGAGAATATAAATACATCACAAAGTTTTAACCAATATTGTTTTTGAATTAAT